TTCATTATTTTGTTGACGTGACGAAACTGGATATTGTTGAGAGCAGAGTGAAGGATCAAAGTGTAAATTAGTGGGATGTCAAGCTCAGTCTGATCCTACACGCTGGTCCTCTTAGTCACCCACATGCGCAACACAAGTTCTTTATTCAAACGGGTTCTATAGGAAGAAGTCCCCATTTTATTGGAATCAGAATTTATTGGCACAGATCCTAATTTATTTCATTTTTCTTAAGTTCCGTTAAATAGTTTCATTATTTTGTTGACGTGACGAAACTGCATATTGTTGAGAGCAGAGTGAAGGATCAAAGTGTAAACCAGTGGGATGTCAAGCTCAGTCTGATCCTACACGCTGGTCCTCTTAGTCACACACATGCGCAACACAAGTTCTTCATTCAAACGGGTTCTATAGGAAGAAGTCCCCATTTTATTGGAATCTTCAAAAGCTGACAAATCAGCCGTCGAGCCCATTCTTTGTTAAATTTCCAAATCCTGTGCTGATGTGGAGCTCAACCGAACAGGTAAAGGAGTCACTGTCCAGATGCTCGCAGAATGCCTGGTACATTTGAACATCACTAGAGGACCGGTCATCTTTCTACTGTCCAACAGCCAGAGACCAAAGCTTCGCTGTGAAACGACCCCTGCAAAGGGGGACTTGAGTGATACACAAACCTTCCCACCATGCACGTGTGTCAGCAGGGGACGAGCCAGGCACTGATCACAAGACAGCGAGGATCTGGACATTATGAAGCTGACATCGGGCCGGTTCCCCATCGGGCTACATGCTATGCCTCCTGCATCCCCTTTGAGTGTTGATTTGCAGAGAGGAGAATGTGGTTGACTGATCTGAAAGGAAATTACTGGAGAGGGAGCGAGAGAGAGAGAGAGAGAGCCTATCCATGCCTTTGACTGATAATCAGCTCATTATCGTGTTGATCATTTACAGCTCTCCCTTCCCGCCCGCTCTCTATTCTTTTAGCTGTGTCACTGAAGCAGAGCACAGAGACTTTTAATGGCTTGGCAGGGAGCCCGCTGTGGTGAGGGAGGGTTCAAACCAGCACGCTAGCCCTGGCTAGTCTCCACTTTAACACGGTCTGCACCCCACTTATCAACACAACTCCCGGGGCAGAAGAAAAAAAAGAATAATAATTTAAAGGAAAAAAACAAACAACGACGACATATGCAACTCTGACGTGTGCTGTGCCCTCGCACCCCGACATGGCTAACTGTGCATGAAATTGAACTGATTGGAGTTATTGACCAGAAGGCTCCAGCCCCGGTGAGGACAGAGAGTACTGTGGGCATGTGTGTTGAAGAGGGGAGGAGTGGGGTGGGGGCTGGTGTGTTACCTGATTGAGTGAAAAATCCTCGGACGGTTGCTTTGATGCCCTGCACTTTACAGGAAAGAGTGATTTAATGGAAGCTGCCAGACCTCATCAATGTCAGCGCTCGTGGCGAGGGCCCTCCGCCCCGCCGTGCTTCATATAAAAAAAGCGCCCGCTATGACGGGTGCTGATGGACAGATGTTTGCTAGTTGTTTTTAGCTGCACGATAAAAAGAAACGCGGATATCGGCCTCCGGCTCGGAAAAGGGGGAGGCCGCGAGAAGACCCGGCGTGGAGCATCCTTGTTGAATATTTGGCGAGTTGATAAGCCTTTTAATTAATGTGACCGCCATTGGCGCGGACATGTTCTTCTCAAGAGGACGCCACGGGGCGAGGCGGAGCTCGTAGAGCGGCGACTTCGCCCTCTGTCTTCGTTTCGGCGACTTGCAGACGGCGCCCGCTTTGTTGTGGAGCTGCAGGATAACACAGTGTCATCTATCAACTCTCCCAAAAAAAAAAAAAAAGTCCCCTGTGCCGTTCCTGCAGTAGATCTGAATTTGCATTGAAATTTGCATCATTAATGGAGCAGAAATGAATTCCCAGCAACTCTGCATTGACCCCTGGGGGAGGGGGGGAGGACGGGCTAGAAACAAGACAATGTTTTTACAGGAGGAATATTACCACTTCATCAATATACAACAGCGCGGTAGCGGGGAGGCAAAGGAGAAGGCAGTGGGAAAAAAGAAGTGGAGGGAATGTAATAGCTTACAGTGCTAATGGCGGTCTGAACGCTCAAGTCCCAAACATCCAGCCGCCTCTTTTCATCTGGGCGGTGTAATTGGCCTCCTGGAAGCTGCCACGCGAAGCGGCTGCCCTCCGTAGTGAAGAGTGGCAGCTGCTGGGTGTTGAGGAGCCGGGCCTGGGTCAACTCCCGGAGTGGGGCTCCTTGCAACCATGAGATATCATAATTAATAGCTATCTGGCGGGGGCCCCCGGGGTGAGTGTCGGCGGGCGGGCGGCCGGTTGCATTGGCGGATAGGGTGAGATTATTTGGGTAAATGGGGGGCCAAACAGAAAGGGACACCAGTTTTATTCTCCACTTAACATAATGTATACTTAGCACTTTGCCTGTAGCAAGCTGCGTCTTACTACACCCCCCCCCCCCCCTCCCCTCTTTGCTCGCTTGTTTGTATTGGGTTTCCCTTTCGTATCTAAACGCACCTAGAGAGACGTCGCCGTGGTGTATCATGGGAACTTATTAATCTTTGGGGGCCCCTGTTCTCCCCAGTTAAGTAAATATACATGAGCTGCTGTGCAGGAGACGAGCATCAGAGAAAATCTTGTTTCTCTCTCTCTCTCTCTCTCTCTCTCTCTCTAACATGCCGCCCCGGGGCAAATCTCACTCTGTCTCATCTGCTGCTTAATTTCACTGGAGCGGCCCTCGGTAATGAAGCGCCTTGATGTACATTTGCCAATTTCTGCCTTCGCCACTGCGGTATAATTGGGATGTGACTAGGCATGAATACCCGGCGCAGGGTTGGTTGACCTCTCGGCGACCCCGCGGATAGCGCTTTTGTCATAAAGGAGGTATTATCTCACGTAATCTGGAAATGGAGAGGGATTGTCTGCTGGCTTCCAGGGGTGGAAATGAATTGATATAACTCCTCGCTCCTGTGCAGAGGAGGGAAAGGAAAAACCTGCGAGATACATTTCTTTTCTTTTTTTTTTTTTACACGCTCATAATGAAGACATTTTCCTCTTATCTTTTGCTGCTTTGTGTTTATTGGAGCAGGAGAGCAGCTTCTGGCGAAAGAAGCGGTGTCTCTTTTTTTTCAAGGAAGGAAGGAGTCATGATGCTGTGGCACTAAAGAGGATTTCTCAGTACGTGTGTGTCTGTGTGAGCATGTGTGAATGTCAGCCTTTTCCATGCGTGGGTGCACCGTGTACTCATGCACATGTTGTGTGTGTGTGTGTGTGTGTGTGTGTGTGTCTGTTAATGACCCTGTAAAATGACAAGCTGAGCTGGCAGTGAGAGCACAGCCGACGGTCCCGCAAGAGCGAGGGAGAGGAGGTAGGAGAGTTCAGATGGAGGTGGAGGAGGAGGAGGGGGTTATGGTCGCGAGGTCGATCGTTCCACAGTGATTCACCATGCTGTCATCAGAGGGACGGGGGCCTCCAGAGTGGCCCTCGCTGTTCCCACCTGAAAAGCTTTGCAAATGGAGCGGCCGCGCTGTCATTATTTACAGCCCGCAGCCGCCAACCTTGGATTCGGAGCTCATCGCGGCGGAGAGAGAATCGGATAGGACTTGACGTGTACCCGAGCCGGTGACCTTGATAAGTGTGAGGGGCCTGCAGCGAGAGGTTAGAGAAGGAGAGCTGTAGTCCGGGGGCTTTCGCTGCAGATGTGCGTGTTTGTACTTGTTTGTGTATTTCAGCTAGTTAGAGAGGTGTGGGGGGTAGGAGTGGGGGGGGGGTACTGAGCCAAGACTCATAGGCCAAAATGTAGCCTTCACATGTGGCATTAATACTTTTTCATTTTGAACTTCTCACTGAAATTGGTTTCCTCCAGTAAACATCGTAAACATGAGTTTATGACCTCAATTGCTAGTTTCAAGTCTTTTCCAATACATAACCATGTTACCGTAGTAAATGATGGTCCGGCTCAGAGTGGAATAGCTCGCTCCAGGGCAGGCTCACTGGGATCGACAGGTCACTGGGCCGCCGCTGCTACTAGGAACAAATAGGGCATCTCTCTCTCAAAAGTCAACAAACTAGAGGCTTCATGACGGCCGTCCACAAACATCACGTTGACTGCACCCACTTCCTACATGAAGTCATATAAGGGTCACTTAGCAGCCTGCTATCAATCTGGGAGAAATAATAGTTGATATCGTCTTAGTCCATGGGTAAAATGTATTTTTATTTTCCCCCATCTGAACTAGTTAGAGACCACGAGAGAGGGGGGGGACGCTAAATAACAGGGGAGAGCATCTCTGGATGGGTGATGAAAACGCGTTTTTCGTCGCCCTCCCCACTGCGATGCTATTTGGTTGTGTGAAATGATTAATTTCACACATATACAGGTCATCCCCCAAAAGCAGCCACATCTCATTCACCAGAGGCCCCCGTCAGCAACAAAACGGGAGGCTGCAATAAAACGAGCAAACAGCAGCACGTACTGTACGTCAATAAATCTTTTGGAGGTTAAACCTGAGCGCTGTAGAATTTGAGCAGCCCCCCCTCCTCATCAGGTAAATGTCACCGAGTACATCAGGACTGTCAAGATCCCAAAAATGGCCGACGAGTGTCCTGTGCTAGCAGGTACACACACACACACGCGCGAACACACAAACACTGTGTGTGTTTGCAAGTAGGATGGAGTCTTGAATTATGGGGTTTGTGTAAATAAGGAGATGAGACTGTTTTTAGCACACATGGAAGAGGGAGCGCTTGGATGAGAATAGTGCTTCTATGTGGAGTGGAATTGGTCTCGGGTTGTTTACGACAGCTCGCAGCCCTCGTATATCACAGGCAGTATGTTTGCTGTGAGGCTACAGTTTGTGTGCCATCTGCCTTAGCTGAACTTGACCATTCAAACAGACTTATATTTTGTAAACGGAGCTCACTGTAACTGCTGTTTTTCCTTTTTTTTTTTTCCTCTCTCTCTTTCTCTCTCCTAGTGGATGATCCAGAAACCCCAAAAGGTGGCCACTTTCTTCGGGTGCATTGGCGCCGACCAGTTCGGGGAGATTCTGAAGGAAAAAGCCGCAGAGGCCCACGTGGACGCGCATTACTACGAACAGAACGTGGAGCCGACCGGTACCTGTGCGGCTTGCATCACCGGGGACAATAGGTTAGCCACATTTCAGTCGCCCCTGACCAAGAAATGATCCTCTGGCCCACATTCGAAAATAGTTTTTTACATCCTCGGGGCAGGCGGCTCTCTCCTCGGGGCTGGAAGTCATAACAGGGAATCATAGCTCAGCTCTCACATCAAAAGGGAAAAAGAACAGCTTGAGTGTGTTTTTTCCAGGCCCCCGCTCAGTCTCTGCCGCCCCAGTGGGTTGTCATCCATCTATAGGCTGACAGTAGCAATGTGTTAGAGATGTCCCGGCTCTCACCTGTCAGCCATCTCTGCTGGAAAAAAAAACAAAAACCGAGGCATTAGCGTCCCTGGCGACTCTCACGCTAGCGTCAACGTCGGCACGTCCGGGGCTGCAGAGGTCGTGCACCCCCCCCCCCCATCCTCCGCACACAGAAAAATATCACTAACAGCGAGGCCTCCGGTTCATGATGGACCAGGTGTGGATCAATAAACCCTCTCTAAACACTCCCCTCCTCCGCAGCTCTTCATCCGCCACTTCTGAAGTTGTCAGTCAGTCGGCGGGCTGGACCTCGCCGGGCCCCCGCTGAATGGTCTTAGTGGGCTTGTTTGATGTGGCCCTGACACCTGAAAAGGTCAGGCGCCGTGCTCGGGGAGACGAGCGCTGTAATATTTCTTACAGGTGTTTAACAGACAGCTCAAGAGGGCCAGAGCAAAAGGTCCCTGGCCGGATTGGAGGGTTGATGGCTTTGAAGGATTGGGAACCAGTATGACACAGCCCCCCCACCTCCCCCCCCAGGCTTTGATTAGTGCAAGTCGTCAAAGAAAAAGATCTATCTCAATCTGTGATCTATGATTAAATACACTTAAGGCATTCAGTTTATTCTGTTCTTTCAATTCAAATCAAAGTTAGAATGTCTTGGTCCCTCCAGGAGCTTTTGTTTTTTTTGCAAAACGACTTACCTTGCGGTTTTGCAATTTGTGAAACATTTTGCCATAAATTGGGCTAATGTTAAAAATATTAAACCTTTTAAAATTTTTCCAACAAATACATTAGATTAGATTTAAATTAGTTTTGGTATTTCTAATTCCACTTTCAAGAGGAGACTACAAAGCCTGAGAAGAGAAGTTGTTGGGGAAACAAAGACTGTGTTACCGTAGTTACAATTAAGTCTTTTCTTCATTTTCAATTTTTTAATTGGTTTTTGTTTGCATTGTTTGCAACAAAACCTCACGTAAAGTTGGCAAATATTCTTCCAGTTTCACCATTTTTCTGAGAAATAAAATCTTGCGTAATCAAACTCCTTAGAGGGGCCGATCGGAATCTACGCTTTCAGCTGCACCTTCTTCAAAGACACGGTATCAGTAGATCTAGCTCGCTCTCTCCGAGGGTGTCTGTCGGCCTTCCTTTAGTAATGACACCCACTTGGTCTGTCATGCGCGCTCTGACCTTTTCAGTCCATTACCGCGGCTCGGGTCAAGTGCAGTCCTAATCCCGCTGTCACATCGTAGCCGTCTTCATCGCGCTCTGATCAACTCGGCACAACTCTCACTCGTTTCTTTGATGCTGCCGAAGCTTTTCCTCCAACAGGTTCCCCTCTGGTGGTTGCACTCATTCTGAGGGCCGCTCATAAAGCGACCGCACACGTGGACCGACTAATGAGCTGCGTTGAGTTAATGCCACCTGCCTCCCGTCCTCGCTACTCAACCAGTGCTCCTTTAATAATGCATTTATGTTGTTCCCCACCTTTGCTATCAATAGATCACTTTTAAAGGTCTTGTTTCAATCTGTGAAATGAAATCCAATTGCCTTTATTTCAACTGGGATCAGACCTTCTAAGAAGCCATTAAGAGCCTTTTATGTAGGGAGAGAACAAAGGAAAGTCCGGGGCCAGAGTGTTTTTAGGGGTGTTTTTGAGACACAATTAAGATGGATGATAAGAGTGGTGGGAGATTTATGGGGTCTGTCTCGGCAGGTCCCTTTGTTGCTAACCTGGCGGCGGCAAACTGCTACAAAAAGGAACAGCACCTGGACTTGGACAGCAACTGGGAGCTGGTGAAGAAGGCCAAGGTTTATTATATTGCGGTAAGTGAGACCCTCTACATTTAAAATAACTGTTCGCCAACTCCACTGCCAAAGAAGGACACGATGTTAGGAGGCTTTGTTGAGGAAATGCCTCAGCGCGCCTCCTGCATTGTCGGTGTACCCATTCATCCTTTGTCGAGTGAAATGAGCTCTGTTGCCTTTTGAGACAATACCGCTGCGTTCGCCCCGTTCCCCCCCCCCCCCTCGTCTTTGTGCGCGAAGCCGCAGCACACTGTGAAATTGTTCTACATGTAATGCATTCATTCATTTCTTTTTACGTGAAGACAAGCCAACAGGTGCTGAAAGTGTGAAAATTGATTATTTAAGTACATTCGGCTGTACGCCCCTCCAACACCGGCTTCCCCCTACAGACAAGAAACACACACACACACACGAGAGCAGGACAGATGTGCCCTTAGACATCCACACTGAGGTAATGTCTTCACTTACAGCTTCTGGGGTGGAATGGCCTGCCATGCTCACGTTTCACTGTTTGGGATTACATTTAATTCTGGTGGATCAACATTTTCTCTGATCTCAAGTCAAGACGATAGCCCTGAAATCGCACTGCATTCCACGTATTTAAGCAGTTCATTATCGGCATAAATCAGCATCACGGCCGAGCCATCAACATGCTCCTTTGGCATATTGTCCCAAGCGAAATGCACAATGGTCCCCCTGTTGCCCACAAGCCCTCTAAACATCAGTGTCCAATAATGATGGAGGTTTCATAATTAGCCGCCCAGGCGAGGATACAGCCCCCGCCCCCCTAAAAAAAGAAAAAAAAAACATCAGTGTTTGTGCCAGAAAGCAGATCAGTCGGTCCATCCTCCAGAGTTTGTGTGGTCTCATTTTTTGCCTCTGCCTCGCATTAGCAAACACAGCACATCCTCTGCAAATTGGCAGTTGGGTTTTGCCCACATCCGACAGTCCTGCGCGCGGGGAAAAGCTTCCGTGGGATTTGAGGGGGGTAGAAGAGCCACAAATGGGTGTTTGTCAGTGCTTGGAATCTCAAAATGCCCTTTTTCAGCGTCCCTCTGTTTTCTTTTTTTTTTTTTTTGTCCAAACGGGAGGGGGAGGATCACTCGCTTTATCAGAGTCCCATTGGCACTTCTAAAGTACTTAGCCAGATACACTGCCACAGCTATTCCCACTTAATACAGTGTGGCGTGTCTAGACCGGTGTTCACTAAGGCCTCCTCTCTCCATTAACCTTGTCGAGAGCACTCTGATGTATTTACCCAATTTACAGACCGATTGTACATTTTCTCTCTCTCCCTCACTGTACCAACCTCTGCCGCGTATTAATGCGCTTCGTTGACTCCCATTAAACGACTGCCGGGCAGTACAAGCAGTCTCGTAAACCGCTAATCCGTAAATAAATGTAATTACCGAATGGCTGCGCACATGTGATTGTTAGCATGTTTTTTTTGTCTTGTTGGAGCATGTGTGTGTTAAAGAGGTGATTGATGATTCCTGGCAGAGGATCTCAAGGTGCCTGCTTTCTATGCGGCGTGATTGGAAGCGAAACCCCCGAGTTGTTAGAGGACTCTTGCAGTCAGTCTGGCTCATCCGGCAGCGGCAGCGGCAGCAGCAGGGCTGGTGGCAGACGCAGAGCAGGGAGGCAGCGCTGCCATTTCTCACAAAGAGAGAATGTTGAACTCCTGCCAAATGTTTGGTGGCAGGCTGTTGCTAGGAAATCTGGGTCCTTAGGCAAATCATTGCACAAAGACCAATAACAAAGGCGTGGAGGTGGGGGGGGGGCGGTGGAGAAGGGAACAGCTAAACGCATTTCAGGGCTGAGGATATCTTTTTTTTTTTTTCAAATGCCGTGGCCACTGCAGCGGTGTTTACAGTTATTTCTTTCCCCCGACCATTGTGAACATCAGAAATGGAGGGTGATGTATTGTGTGAAGGGAAGATGAGTGACTGTAATTGGCGGGGGGGGGTGATGTGTGCGTGGTGGCCCAGTTAGCCCCCCCCCTATCACTCCCTCTTCACTTTCCATCGCCACCGCCCACCTTCCAAGAGAAACCTGTTTAGATTCGTGATGATTTATGAAAAGTCTATGCCACCACACACTTGACAGCGGTTAACTTCCCAAGATCGCACCGAACAACAATCTTTGCTTGTTAAAATAAGAGGAGAGAACCCCCCAATAGTTAGGTGGAACACCTGCGGATTGTTTTTGTATCCTAAAAGGCGTGCGCCAGAGTTTGCACACTCCCTCCTAGACGCTCCCAATTGCCCTATTGGAATAATAAAGAGCGCAAGACTCTCTAAGACCGGGCCTAAAACATAAGCCTCCCACAACTTCCGGCTTACTACAACGAAAGAAAGAGGGGGGGGGGACAAAAATCAGCTATATCTCTCGGTCATGCACGGAGCACGTAGCCCAAAATCGAGAAAGAGGGGAGACGGCCGAGAAACATTGTCTGTGAAAAGCCCCGTTTAATGCCCGGGCACCAGATGTCCCGAAATACCCCAAGAATAGTCGGAGGAGACACTCCGCCTCTGCCAACTGGCGGTGGTACACAAAACTCACCCAACGAGACACAAGGCGGCGGTGCTGTTAGTCACAAACCCGACCACAGCTGGGGACGCTTTCTTGTTTACGCCCCCCCCCCCCCTTAGCTAATGGCGCGATCCCCGTTAGCCTGCGAGAGCTTCGCCACGCCCGAGGAAGGAAAACAGCTAACCCGCCTTATTTTTCCCTTTTTTCTCATTTTTTTTTTCTTTGTTTTTAAACGGCGCAGCAACTGGGAGTGAATGCCTCACACTGGCAAACTGCATATAGCATTAATTGGCAGTTGTATTCTTGCCCTCACTGCAGGGGAAAAGCTGAGTTCAGCTTCAGTCACCGTAGCATAATATGCAAGAAAGGAAAGGCGAAGGGGAGGGCCAAAGGAGGGGAGGGGGGGGGGGAGAAAAAAAGCGCAATACTGGCACTGCAAGCGGCACGTCAGCCTGCTTACACTCCAGAGTGGCACACACACACACACACACACACATTGTTACTCCGCCCCGACAGACCCTGCGATTTGCAGCCAAAAAAGCAAAGGGAGAGGCTTTTTGCACACACACACACACACACACAAACACACAGAAACACACGCACAAACACAACAAAGTGACACCTCATCAGCCAGCCGAGCGGCTGATTAGCACAGAGGTGACTGCGGCTGTGTCTCCGTCCAACTCGGAGGACCGAACTGTCCTCACGCCGACCTTGAGCTTCCTTTCCCTCACCTCCTCTATCGCTCTCTGTAGTGCTCTCTCCCTCTTCTCCCCCTCACTCGCTGCACCCCCACCCCCCTTCCACCAGTATCCCCCCCCCCATCCTCTGTCTCCATCTCCTCCCTCATCGTCCCTCTCCTTTGCTCTGTCTTTTCTCCCTTTCCTCTTGCACTCTGTACTGCACCACTCGGCACTGCCCCTGTCCTTCCACACAGCCGGGGGAGGGATCACGAGTAAAAATGCAGGCAGGGAGAGAAGTGGGAGCCAGTGAGTGGTGGGGAGTAGTAGCATAAACATAAAGGGGAGAAAAAAAACTGGCAGGCTCCCCCCTTTGTCTGCAGGCGATCAGTTACAGTCTTGGTTGCCGATGAAATTTAATCCCCACCGCATTTACATGCCAAGTTTGACTTCTGGCAAGCCTTATTAAATAGATTTGTAAATCATTTCATCTTGATTAGAATCCGTTCTCAAGGGATCAACATTTCTTCTTTTTTTTTGCTTTTTGCCTTGCGTGTGTTTTGTTATGTGCACAGTCTGTGCCCACCGGTGTTCAAATTTGAAAGTCAACCCTGTTTTTTTGTTTTTTTACTTCTGTGCGAGCAGTAGGTTTAGGGGACAAAGAGCGACGGGCGCCAAGTCCCGTCCGTCAGCGGGCCGGCCGCTGTGTCAGCACGTCCCCCATCTCTGGAGGTCACGTTGGTGGGCAAGCGCCTGCTATGATGTGTGTCCTCTTTATTTGGCCGACACCGCAGTGTCTTTAGCATTGGAACAATGTCATTTCTAATCAAATGGCATTTTGTAATTGCCAGCAAGCATCTTATGAATACGAATTCATAATTGTTCAATTACCAGACGACTGCATCGTATTTATTGGCTTTTTTTTGTTGTGGGGGGGGGCGTAATTCTTCTTCTCCCGCTGGCCTGGGCCAATTATAGGATTTCAATCTTGAGGCAATCAAGGGATAAGGGTGAGGCGTTTAGTGTTTGCTGTCACTATATAATTCTCTTGAATGTTAAACATGCATCTGGGAGGGCTGTATTTGTCAGAAGGCTGCGCGTGGAGGTGCACCTGCCTAATTGAGTGGTAATGAGCTGTCAGGAGTGCGGGCTCGGTGATTGGCTCTTGGCGGGGCGTCCCGAGCCGGTGGGACGCATGGGTTGGCCCGGGCCCTGCTGGAGGTTCAGCCAGCTCCTCCGCCCTGCAGGGCTAGAGTGGGCGGAGCATGGTAAATTAGGGTGGAGAGGCCAAATGATGCCGGCTGCCGGAGACGTCCCGCGGCTCCCGCTCGTCTGTGGGATTTATTTAGGTTGTTTACAATTATCCGTACTCTTGATTTACTTCTTCGCGGAGACGGTGGGAGGGGAGAACATTTCTGCTGATTTGTTTGAGTAAAAGTAGCTCCGTTAGAAGTCCTGAGTCCCTTTTTTACATAAGGACACTATGTGCATATGTGGTTATTTCTGATATGTTTATTATGTCTATCCCATTACTTCTCATCTTATTTTGTTAGTATGAAGAGTTCTCATCGTATCGAATAACATGTACTTTTTTGCGTGTTTATTTATTTAGCGTGTGAGGAAATATTTGCCAGGGCTGTGCAGCTTTTATTTTTGTCAGTCTTTTATTTTTTTTCTTGCATCCTAATTTGAACAACAACAAGGGATACAATCTACTGTATCTTGAGTTATTTCCTCTTGGGGAGGAGGGAAGGGCACTTTCTTGGACTCTGGCAAGCTTCCCGGCTTTGGTCCGTATTACTCTAC